TGTAGCTGTGATCATTTATAAAATACTATATGTATCTACTGAGTAGAATCTTCCAATACAGTCTAGAAGAAAGGGTTACTATGGTGTACTCTGATTAGATTCACCCATGACAGCTTTGCTCAAATGTACTCTAGGAATTGATTTCCATAGTTATAATAACTTTATTTTCTTATTTTAAAGATAAAAGAATGAAAACATATTAAGAAACACATATACATTTACAAAACAACACAAAAACAATACAAGCAATACAGAATTTCAGGCAAGGTGATAGGAAATTAACAATAGTTATATACATACTAATATCTACAAATTGGTTACTCAGATAAACAAATCTAGCCATGTAAGATTGATCAAACAATTAATCACTAAATGTTCCTTTCAATAAAGCAGTATGTAGTGAGTAGTACAACTATTTTAGCTGTCCTGTGTATATATAATAATTTTATAAAGTTATTATTGCTATATTGTGAAAGGGGAGGAAAGGAGTAAGAATAACTTTATAAAACTATGTTTCTAACAAAAGAGAAGTTGTATATAAAGAAGGTATTTTCAATTGTACGTAAGAATGTATGCCAGGCCTTAGTTAAAAGAAAATATCATTATATTATTTACCCGCCACCCAACAGTATTTTCTCCTCCTTCCTAAAAGAAGCCAGAAGCCAATCTCCTAAAAGTTTTGGTTGGTGCTTGGGGTAGCTCAGTTGTAGAGTTCCTTTCTAGTGAGCACAAAGCCCCAGGTTCAATCTCTAGAACTCAAACAACAGCAGAAAGCCTTGCATGAAATTCATTTTCATTCTCAGTATCTGTAGAATTATTGTGTGACTTAACTGTACACTTACAAATAATATTACATCATTTTTATTTTAATGTCTTAGTACCTGTGTGTAGTACATGGTTACACTCCTCATGAAAAGCTGCTACATGTACAGTACCTACCTTCATCCCTTTCTCTTTCCTTCCCTTCCCCTCCTCTCCCTTCACCAGCCCTTGATCCTCTTCCTTTTTATTTTTATAATCTTTGTGTGGAGTCAGCACACACGCATAATGCCTCCCCATTCCTTTTTCAGTCTTTATTCCATTCTTCCCTGCCACTCTCCCCATCTCTTGATCAATAATATTAAAGCTTCATATCAATGCAGTTTGACTTCTTGTATTTTATCACCTGTATATCCCATACACTTTACACAATAGACAATGAATATTGTGAATATTTAACATTAAAACACTTAAATATTCATTACTTATATTTCTTGAATCTTCAGGAAGATAACAAAAAAGTGTTTAAAATAATAATTTTATAAATGTATCAGCAAAATTTATGAACCCATAATATCAGTAGACCATTGATAATTTAAAATTGGGTTTCCTTGAACTTAGGTGGGACATTCTTAGATGTTTCTCCAATGGGGAAATGAGGAAGTGGGATCCACATAGGATTTTGGTATTTGTGATCTAATAATTTAAGTAATACTTCATTAATTTAGACAACTGAGATGGCCAGCAGCAATGCCCTAATAGAAATAAGACAACAGAGCATCCAGATTTTTGATTGTAAGATCTGTGCTCCACTAAAATGAACAAATGATTCTTGGACAAATAGCTAATTACAGAGCTACACTGGCAAAAGAACAAGCCAATCCTGAATGATTTCATGCCACAGAGTACGCAAGTGCTTAAAGAGTTATGAATTTATGATAAATGTTGACTTAAATTCTTTTTTTAAACACAGTCTTAATAGCTACTCCTGTTCTAGTTTCCAAGGCATATCTTTTTCCACCTCTTCTTCATTGGCCTATGTGTGCCTTTATAGATGAAGTGAGTCTCCACTAGAGAAAATATAGTTACATCTTTTTCTCCATTCAACTTCTCCATATCTTCTAATTAGAGAATTTAGTCTGTTTGACTTAAGATTATTACTGAAAGAAAGGACTTACTTCTACAACCCTATTAATTGTTTTCTGGTGGTTTGGTAGAAATTTTTGTTCCTTTCTCCCCACGTACTGACTTTAGAGTTTGAGGTTTTCTTACAGATGCTGAAACTTTTGTAATTTCCATTGGTCTTACATTAAAATCTTTTAATTTTAATACACTATTTTAAGGTAATAACAATTTAACTTTGGTTGATAAAAATGTTAGGTTTTTAACCTCATGCACAATCTATATTTTGCTTCAATAATTGCTTGTAATCTTATCACTTGCTAAATCTAAGAAGTAGCATCAGCATATTGATAGAAATCAGAGCTCAGAACTAACTTCTGACATGACATATATTGTGTGTGTCTCCCCTTGGCTCCCACCAATGCCAGTCTGAGGATCAAAACATTGTCCATTTTTCTATTGTGTCCTCAAGAGCCCTGTCACTAACTTTGTCTGTTTTCAAAAGCCCAGTTTTTTATACTCTTTCCAGTTACTACTACATATTAGGAAAATATAATAGCATGAAGAAAGTACAGTTTGTTTTAAAGCAAAGTTATTGTCTTAGTTAAAACAAGATCTTAAATATAATAGAAACAGAATATTCCATTGCTAATCTTGCTGCATGTATTAATGTACACACTAGGCCCATGAATAGTAGAAATTTACTGTCTGAATTCACCCTTTGACTCTCAAACAGAACAACTTTGTTCTATTATTGAAAAGCAAGAAACTTACTGCTCTATCACCGACAGGATCATTTTTCCTCAGGAACATTTCCTAAGCATGAACTATGTACTACAATACATTATTTCATTTACTAGTCATTAAAATGCATGCAGTCCCTATTTAATGTATATAAAACTGAGGCTTAGAAATCATAAGTTACCCAAAGACTCACAAGTAATAAAAAGAGGAAATAAGATACAGAAATAACCCTTTCTATCACTAAATTGTCTACTTTTATACATTAGGGGATGATATTTGCTTTTAATTGTGGTCACTTGAGACAATGTATTCTTCACTTGCAAATAAATATTAAATTCAATGCATGAAGGATTAGAAAATATAAAAAGGTTTATTATATTGAGAGAGAGAGACAAAAATACCAAGGTATTTATGGCCACTTTTATTTTATTAAATATCTAAATATGGTTTTAGGATGAGGTTCTTTTAACAAATTATTGAAAATGGACAAATCCATGTTATTAAAAGCTGGTTAATATGAAATAAGCATAGTTAATACTAAGTAAAAATAGGTTAAATCTAATCTTCAAGCCTGTTTTGCTTGTGTAAGCCAAAAAGCACTTTCCAATTGAGCTCTTTATTGACTTACTAAATTTTATTGAGAACTCAGGTGCACGTGAGTATGCATCTTGTCCTATGTGAATCCTAACCTCCTGCATTAGGCCCTCACCCCTGTTCTCACTAATCCAGTGTGGACCTTTCCTAGCTCCATTTACCTAAACCTTCATAACAAAAGCAAATCTTACACTAACCTAGTACTCTTTATTGTCATCTCTGAGAAACCATCTTTTAATAAAAGTGTTATGTTTCCTGGGAATGTTTGCATTTTCAGCTAGTTAAATGTAATTTACAGCACAAGATCTTTAAAAGATTTTTTGACATTTTTCTAAGTTACATTCTTGTCCTTGAGATGCCATATCAGACACCCACAACTGTAGTGAGAAATGGTCCATTTTGGCCCACAGTCTGTAGAGGCTTTATCCTACAACTGGCTGGTTCCACAGTAGAGAGGCATGGCAGACAGACACACAGAGATCCAAGGAAAAGAGAAGAGATAGACCTCCCCAGCCACACCCTCAGTGGCCCACCTTCCACCACTAGACTTCACCTCCCAAATCACATTTAACTATAAACTCCTTAGTGGACTAATCCACGCATAAGTATCACTACACTGTGATCCAATCCCTTCCCACAAGCCCCACCTATGGGCACAGAAAGCTTTTAAGGGACGTCTAGATACAAACCGTAACAACATTACAAGTAAATAGGATATGTGATTCAAGCAATTAACCTCTCTAGAATAAGACTCTTGAGTATAGCCTTAAAAATGGCTTTGCCACCGGTCTTCTGGGAAGTTTAAATGAAAAATGACTCAAGATACATTACCTATAGTCATCGTCACAAGAGTTACACTGGATGGCAGAATCCTTTCATTCATGGACCCAGAGTCTAAGTTGTAGAGCAGTGGCACTCAGCCCTTCTCTCTAGCCTTCCTTACGATGCTTCTGCTTAACCTTGCCATGCATGTTTTGGCATGAAAAGTATTGATCTATCAATTGTATTTTGGATCAATACAAATTTATTTTAAAACATTTGGACATTTTCCTAATACCTTCTCATGAATCCCCATATATTAGCTATTTAAAGCTGGTTGTAATCATTATAGTGAACAAATGATGTCATTAGCATACCCTGTCTCTACTAATCACCTCACTTTTGCTTTCTAATCTAGCAAAGCAAAGTTGCTTCCAAGGACAATCACTTCAAAAATAAAATTACAAGCTATCTGCCAAATTTATACATTACTGTTGCAAAAGCAAAATTTAAGATCCATGCAAAAATGTTCTTTTGTTCTTTACACCTTAAAATGAGCTCTTAAAAACAAATGAAATTGCTATTCTTCCTCGGGAGTTACACCCACCAGGAAATCCATATGACAATCCCTAAAATACAGGGTCACAATCTCATTGTGACATTGTGCTATATGAGGTCACAGTGTAATTTCCCAAATTAATTACTTTCTAGTCATATTCTGAGATAGAATAATTGATTTAATATAGCTGGCCAATACTTGTTTGTTTCTACTATTACTTATTGCGGATTCTTTTCAGAAAATTCAGATAACTACTTTATTCAGCAGTATAAATCTTTGCATATCAAATAAAAGGCAAGGCACAGCAATAAACTGAAAGTTATAACACTGGTTTTACCACTTACAACTAGGGAAAAATTGGTAAATCTATTTTCATAAATGTCTTTGTGTACTTGCTTCACTTTTAAGCAACAAACCATCTTTTACTTCTTAAATTGATTTCCGATTTCTGACACTCAATTCCATGCCACTCCACCTTCCTAAGGGTTTGCCTGAGGAAGTGTCACTTCTCAATTTATCCTCTCCGTCCTTGAATCGCTCTCCAGACATGAAGAAATTAGACATTGCTGCCATTTGCCAATGTCCTTTCTTTCACTATGAAGTTCAGTAAATTTTACCTACAGTTCCTCATCTAATATCTATCTCAAATCTAAAAATTTTACTTAAATATTTTCCTAGAAGTTCTTGCCCATAAATTACTTCTTGGTGGCCAAGTTTCCAGGATCCTTCTCTTGCTTGACTTCTCTTGAACTTTGTGTAATCCCTCACCTCCCTTTTAACTTCATTGCATACACATTCTTCCCTTCGTCCTCTGTCTCTACTGGTTTTTCTTTTGCTTTCTCTAGTTTCTCTGTTGACAACACCTTTTCTTTTGAGCAAAACCAAAGTTGATATGTTATGTGTGCAAATAAGCCATAAACTATTTAGTTCTGGCATAGAATATCTCAGTTAACCATTGTTAAAAAGACTCAACCTCTTAATACCGCTACAATGGGGATTAAGTTTCAACACCAACTTTGCTCAAAGCACTATTATTCGAACCATGACACTCTATATGGAAGGACTTATCTTCTTCAATTTATAGATGAAGAACATGAGGCCCTCGATTCATAGCATGACGTGTGCTTTCCAAACATAACCATAAAATTAAGATAAATTATAATCAAACCGAAAGTGCTTATACAGATTTTCCTCTAATAAATATAAAAAGTGCTGATATACATTCCTACAACTGTACACAGACTTTTATAGACCATTCTAAACTATGCATTTCAACTGAGTACCTGAAATGGTGTTTTACTTATAAGTTTGTATTAAAAGGCAATTAGAAATATTGCATAAGTATAATCTGCTGTTCTATTTACTGCCTTGGATTGATTTCAAAATGGCAGTCCTCAGGGTTTATTATTCCTTGCTCCTCTCTAAATTAATCTGCTCTACATCTCTTATTATAGCCAAGAAATTCTAATTACTGGAGGACAAGGAGAAGATTCCATGGAACTTGATTTAAAAACACAAGGACCCAAAGGAACTAACCTGGACTCTAACCACGTAGCAGTTGTGGCGAACCTGTGGCACGTGTGCTACAGCAGGCGCTTTCTTACCATCAAAAGTTCTAAAAGGTTCGCCATCACTGAGAGTAAGGCGATTTGAAAGCTTATCACATCCATAAGTGATATATCAGGAAAGTGTACACCCGGAGGGTCATGCAAAATGAAAGGCAGGTCTTCTTGTTCCTGGAGATTACGTATGGCTCTGGGTGGAGTATGATAATCTATATAGGATTAACATTGCTAAAACAAACATTAAATATAAATGCAAAAATGTGTGTGTATATATATATATATATATGAATATATATCCATAGACATGATTTTTCTCTACTAATATCACACATATCTATAAACTTATCAAAATTCACTTTTACTGATTATTGCAGCAAAAAAACTGCTACTGAATAGATCTTAATTTTTCTATGTTTCAGATTTCTAAAGGTAAAAAAATATGAACTATACAATAAGTTCCACTATGCTTCTATTTAAAATATACAGTAAATTCGATTTTGGCAGGGCATTAATAGATATTACTTTATTTAAATTCCATAAATAATGAATTAGATGCAATATTTCTCAAGGCAAAAACAAGTTTTCACAGGTTTTAAAATTTCTATGACATCATATGCAAAGTGAACTGCAAAGAGCATCGAACCAAATGTTTCCCATTTAAAGCTGGCCACAGGAAAGATTTCAGCTGTGTCCCGTGACATATAAACATGCTACAGGCAAGAGCTCAACAAAAGCTCATAAAAGAGCACCTGTGGTTTTTAAATTAAGCCCATTTGCTGTAATTAGCCAGCTTTATTTTTCATAAGTCCACTTTTTAAATTGTTTTTTAAACCATCCCTGTGGTGGTCATAAACACTATGCAGTTTTAATGGAGGAGGATTTTGTTTCTTAAAATCCCAGTCGACTTGAAATCAAATCATTCAGGCCACTGCTAAAGAGGTGGGGGTGAGAATGAAATTGAGGGTGCTGGGTAACTCAGTTCTAGTTGCGGGCAATTCATTCCAAATGAAGTCAACTGGTGTCTCTGTAGATTTGCTTTTCCCGTGGGGCTTAATACCTACCACCTTTACTCTTGATTCACAGCTTTCTTTTTGCATGGTCAACCTTTTAAAAATATACATGCATTCAAAAGGAAATACATTTTCAAATAAAATCTCAAGGAATATCCTACAGAATATATAGCTATGAAAATATTTTAAAATACATTTAAGAATACTCAGTACAATTTTAAATCGATGTGAAAACAGTTGCAGATTTTGTACCTATTTGAAAAACTCTGGAATTGTTTGAGTTTTCATTTTTTTCAGGTGTGCATCAATATTAGTAGCCCTAAATTTTCCCCTACAAATACTTTCCTGATCTAGACAAAAAAATCTAGCATCCATTGCTTTGCTTATTTTATAGTCATAAAAAGTGAAACATCTGATTCTTTTGTGGATCAGAACAGGGCTTCTGCAAGTTTTACTGTGTCCCTTTTTTTATTGAAAAAAATTCCCAGGAAGACTATATGTTTTAAAAAGAAAAGTATTTTCAGACTCATGTAATTTCAAGATCCTATGAAAGAGAACTTTTTAAAAAACATTTGTATTATTCTGCAAAACTAAGATACTCCCCATTTTTGATAAATCACTGACATGCACAAAAGAAAATAAAAATAGTGTATTTAATGCTGCCAAATCCCTGTCTTCTTTGATGTTGTTAGACAGCTGACCATCAATAGCAGCTCTGTGTTTCACAAGGGGCCCCATGCATACAGATATACGCACACTGTCAAAAAATCTAGATAGGCACCAAAATTATATCAAAAAGCACAAAATTTATCAAACTCTTGATTAAAATAATTTCAGAACTAAGCATTGACTATAAGGAAAGACATAGAAACTGACACAATCCACAAAGCACAAAAAGTTTTAATTGTAACATTGTGTGCAGCATAGAGAAAGGGAAAAAAATCTTAAGTTCCCAGCTCAACAAATGGATAAGGAAACCACAGGTTATTTACATAAGGAATATTTTCAGGAACTTTTAAGCATAATTTTGTTAGTATACTCTGTTTGGAAAATAATTTGGGACTGCTAATAAAATAAAAAGTATGGACACCCTGTGATGCTGCAGTCCAATCTAAAGCACATATGTTAAAGAAATTCATACTTTTAATCATAAAATATATAGGTACAAGAATGATTACCACAGTGAAGTTTTTAATAGCAGTGCACTGTTAATAGCAATCCACATTGTTATCACTAACAGAATAAATAAAAATTTGCAGTATAAACGTATATTACATTGCTTCTTGGCCTTTTGGCTAAGATCAAGTGTAGAAACACATAATATTGCACTTGCACATATAAAAGCTGTTAACGATAGCTTTATGTGAAACAATAGATTTAGTATTTAAAACAATATTGGATTTTGAAAGTAGAATACAAAATAATGCATCCTGTACAGTTTCAGTAATTAAAAACTGTCAAAAACCAATTATACCATATTATTTAGGGAACAAATACAGTGGATAAAGTACATGTAACAATAAGAGAATACTTTTTATACAGTTAAAATTAATGACTATCTATGTTAGGCAGTATTTCTTGGAGTTGAAGATTATGACCAGAAAAGGAATAGACACTAGGCTCCTAAATCCCCTATTGTCCAGGATGGTGTACATGCCTATAATCCTAGCACTTGAGGTAGCACTGTCGCCGCTAGTTTGAGGCCAGCCTGGGCCACATAGTGAGGTAAAGGCCAGCCCTAGCTAAAGAGCGAGGCCCTGTCTCAAAATAAATAAATACATTGCAATATTTCACAATACAAATATTTTTTGTTTTTTTACATAGTGTTTTTAAATGCATAATTTCAAGCAGTTTTTAAAAGGAGAAATGTGCTATGTGTTTTAAGTTACCTGAATAACAGACTTACGTTTACTTATTGTAAAATTTGGATAATCAGAAATAATATCTATCTTTAATATTTAATATATCTTCTTCTCTATCCCCACTCTCTAGGCAGCACTTGATAGTTAATAAACTATATTTATTAAAACCCTTTATTAGGGCCAAAGATATAGCTCAGCGGCACAAGTGCCTGCCTGGCAAGCGCAAGGTCCTGAGTTCAATACCCGGTAACAAAAATGTAAAATAAAATAAAATCCTTAGTAGAATGAAAGTTTTGAAAAATATGGTGAATCCGTCTTTGAAGATAACTTGTTAGTTTCATTTCTGTTCCTCAACAAATGCTGTTCCTCCCCAAGATGGTGTCCGAGTAATGGAGGTCCCGAAGCTCGATTGACTTTTCTGGGTAGAAGAAGCCAGTGGACCAGCACATGGGCCTCTGCTGACCCTGAGCTGCACCACAGCTGTCCTCTGCCAGTCCCCCCTCTGCTGGGCTCCCTGCATTAGCAGAGCACAGGACTCCTGACCCACCATACCTTCGGTCTATGCCCAATAGCCCTGCTTGTTGACACTGACTTAAGGAAATTCTGTCTATGTTTAGCTATCTATTCTCACTCTTTAGCTAGGGCTGGCCTTTACCACACTATGCAGCCCAGGCTGGCCTCAAACTAGCAGCGACAGTGCTACCTCAAGTGCTGGGATTACAGGCATGTACACCATCCTGTACAATAGGGGATTTTAGGAGCCTAGTGTATATTCCTTTTCTGGTCATAATCTTCTATGTGGCCCCAATTAAGGGTTTCAATAAATATATTTTATTAACTATAAAGTGCTGCCTAGAGAGTGGAGATAGAAAAGAAGATATATTAAATATTAAAGATAGATATTATTTCAGATTATGCAAATTTTATAATAAGTAAACTTAAATCTGTTTCTCTAGTATGGACTCAGTTCTGAAGGTTTGCTGTGTTTTCTGTCTTCCCTCCTGACCCATCTGCACCTCAGCTGGGAGTCCAGTCCCGGTCCCAGGGCCCTCCCCTGTGGGCATCCTGGTGTCCAGTGAAGCCTATCTAACCCTGGGGAAACCACAGCTGTCCTTTAAAATGGGCTTTTCTCCTTTGCTGTGCGTGAGCACACAGCTCCGTCTCTGCAAATGCCCACTTCGTGGTAATTGCGTTCTATTTTGCCCTCAGTGATTTTTTCAAATTTTCAATATATTCTTAAATCAACTTTTCTCATGCCTTATTTTGTGGTTTAGCTGTTTGACTTGGGTTGGAGACAAGGAAGCAAAAGGAAAGTACAAGGAAATGACAAGGCTTCCATTTTTCTGCTCCTGTCCTTCTGATTCTTGCAGTTTCTTGGTTTGGTCCACAGCTTCTTCCAAACTCTCACTTCTGCAGCCTTAATAGAAACACAGTGCCTTCTCTGAGTTATGTTTAGGTCCTTCTCCCTGATGAAGACTGGCTTTGAGGAAATCATAGATAATTAATTTTTACTGTCCAAAGTTTACTCACTTCTTTTTTTTTCTGGTATGGACTGTAACAATCCACACATTCATCCCAGAGAGAAGAAGGTCATGAGCTATCTAAAATTCTATGAGGAGAGATAAAAAATATTAATTTTACTTCCCATTGTTATCCCATTATATAGGAAAATAAAAATCTGACAATTAAACAGCCCTCAAAATATTAAGAACCATTTTTGCTGGTTTAGTTTTAGGCATTTGATTACCTTCTTAGTAAAATTTCCCCAAGACATTCTAGAAGCAAAAGCTTCAGTTAAGGTGAAAAGATTCTAAACAATTTATCCTAATAATGAAAGAAGAAGAATAAATTATTCCTTTAAACATTTCTCCGTAAATATTGAGACAATCAATGGTCTAAGTTCTAGAACCAACAGGGAAGGAAGCATAATTATTAAAATATGAGAATTATTCTCAAAACAAATTAGGGAAAATAACCTAAATCACTAGAATTCGGGTCAGTGTAATGGTTCCTATATTTCACTTTCACTTCATAGTAAGCAAGTAGCATGGTAGCCTCTAAGTTCCTCATCTTTATCTCTGAAGTTTGATTATATAAAGGAGACATTTATATTCCTTATAACTTTAGTTATAGCTATAACATAGATAAACAAAAGCATTTATTTATTTTTTATTTATTTTTTTGT